CCCCTGACATAAAGAGAAAGTTACAACGTACAGAGGGGGCCTTAGGGAAAAATATTGCAGAGATTATGGAAATTGCTCAAAAAGTCTTCCGTAATCGTGACAGGGAGGAAGAACGTAAATCAGATCAAAAGGAGAAGAAGAAGGCAGAAATGTTAGCAATAGCCTTAGGAGAATTGAATCTCAGACCAAATCAATGTGCAATCTGTAAACAGGAGTGCCACTGGCAAAGGGACTGCCCCCAGAGGAGTGGCCAACCAAGGGGGCCACCTCGCCAGTATGCAAGGGGATGAGGAAAAAGATTTAGAGGGAATTTCCAAAAAAGTTTCAGGGGAAGCTTCAGAGGAAGAGGACATCCAGCCTATCCCAATCAGGCAGAACACAGAGAAGAGAACTTGATTGGCTTAGCTGACATGGAATGGGGAGACTGAAGGGAACAGGCTTCTATGGTCCCACCCCCAGAGCCCATTGTTAAAATACGGGTGGGAGGACAGACTGTCCTGATGCCAGTTGACACGGGAGCTACCAGATCTGTCCTAAATAAATTTATTGGCAAAACATCAAACCAGACCATCCAAATTCAAGGTGTGTCAGGGGAAATTCAATATAGACCACTACTGGAACTCCCAACATGACAAGTGGGACAAGCACAACTACCCAGCCAAGCAAGTGCACAATTTGCAGAATTGTATGCTCTAACACGAGCATTGGAAATAGCTGCAAGAAAGATTTTAAATGTATATACAGACAGCAAATATGCATTTTTAACAATTCACGCACATGCAGCCATCTACAAAGAAAGGGGTTATTTGGACTCCACAGGCAAGATCATCCAATATGCCACCTTGATTAAAAGACTTATTAAGGCAGCTCAATTACCATCTAAAGTTGCCATCATTCATTGTCCTGGATATCAAAAAGACTCAAGCCTTATTACACAGGGGAATAGGAAGGCAGACAAAGAAGCCAAAAGAGCAGCTTTAGAAGGGCCCCCCCCTACAGTCAGATGTCACCAGGCTCATGTATTTAGACACTTACTTGGAAAAACTTGATCCTACATATACTAAAGAGAAAAGCCAAAAGTTAAAGCAGGATGTACAAGCTGAACTAATTAAAGGCTGGTACACCCTTCCAGATGGACGAATTGCTATTCCTCTTGCACTTGCCCGCCCACTTATTTTTCAGGCTCATAAACAACATCATTTGGGGAAAACTGCATTATTACAGCAACTTGAAAGATTTTTCTATCTTCCTTTTGCTTCTTCACTGATAGCACAAGTATGTTCTCAATGTTCCATTTGTGCTCAAACCAATGCTCGCCAAGGACCAATAGTACCACCTGGTCAACAACCAATCGCTTATTTCCCAATGGACTATGTCATTGTTAACTTTACTGATATGCCTAGGAGTAAGAAATATGTAGCCCTGCTAGTCATAATTGATACCTACTCAAATTGGATTGAAGCCTTTCCTACTGGTAATAAGAAAGCTATACAGGTTGCCAGAATCTTTCTTAAAGAAATTATTCCTAGATTTGGTTGCCCTTCTAAGATTTCATCAGATAATGGCCCTGAATTTGTACATCA